AAGCTTTAAAATGCATGTGTGAAAGTGTTTAGGTTGCTCTTACAACGCAAGCTTTCTTCCAACTCATAATTAAAATTCCTGTGTCCATGGTGACATGCCACATTTTTCTAGACTTTCAGTACTGTGGGCACAGTTTTCCATCCTTCATTCTTACTGAATCCTCTTGGCTTGGCTTCACTTCTGGGACACCGCAGCTACATTCATTCCCTTCTTCATCTCCGCTTGGCAGTTCTTACCTGTCTGTCTTTGATGCGCTGCCTTCTTTCCCAATTTCCTCAAAGGCAGCTAATACCTGCATACTTTTCTAGCTGTGTTTAATACTGCATAGTCTCATGTGGTAGCATAGCTTTAGATATTATCTATTCATATGCATAATCTAGCCCCATTTACTCTCTTTTTTCCTCCAGCCAATAGGTTCCTGCCTTAGCATTTCAGAGTTGACATGCCTGGGGTAGAATTTAGGATTTATACTCCATCATTCCTTTCTCTACAATCTGGACCTTCTCAGGTTTTCTGTGTCAGAAAATAGAATCACTGTTAATGCATTTTCACAACCCAAATATTGGAGTTTTAATTTCACACAACACAGTCAAGCAAATTTTCTTGGAATTATTTTCAAAACATGTTCTGTGTTGGAATTCTTTTTAACACAGCAACAATTTTAGCTCAGATAGTTAGAACCTCTCCTTAGGACTTTATAGATTCTCCTTTTATGGTCTGTCTTGTACGCCCTTCCCGAAAACTATATGTTGAGGTCCTAACATCTGGTACTGCAGAATATGGTTATATTTGAAAAGTCTTTAAGCAGTAACTAACTTAAATGAGATTGACTGGGCACTGATTTATTATTACTGTTGTCCTCATAAGAAGAGGCTAGATGCAGACACAGAAGAAGATATGGAAAGAAAATGGAAGAAGATGGGCCAGCCAAATAAAGAGACCTGCTGACACTTTGATCTCAGACTTCTTGCCTCTAGGTTTAAAAATGAACATGTCATTTAAGTCAAGTTGTGGCCTTTTTTTATGGTGGTCTTGGTAAATTGGCACAGTTATGTCACTAGTAAGTCACCTTTGTAGAGTCAGAGAAAGATGCCCTCTGTGGGCCATTTGGGCTCCAATTTTGTCGCCTTCGCAGAAGGATCTCTCCATGTGAGGTGTATCCAGCCATGCGTTCTGCTCTTTCTGGTCTCCCTCTTGTCACTAATGGCCTCTACACAGTAGCAGGATTGATCTTTTCCATACATAGGTCAAATCTTGTCACTCCTCTGCTCCAAAACATCCAACAGCTTCTTGTAACTTAGGGAAAAAACCCAAATTATTTTCTATGGCTTGCGGAATCCTATGTGGACTCACTTTAGCATGTTCCTGTGAGCCTTCAGTTGGTATTTTGGGTGCCCTGGCTTCCAGGTCTGCTCTGTGCTTGGGCCTTCTCTCTGGTCATCCCAGACTACTCAACGATCCTTTTTGATCCTCACATTCTTATTTAGAATTGATATGAAGGAAACCCACTCCGAAAGGCTTCTTTTCATTTTTATCTTTGCTTTCACATTAGGCTCAGCTTTCTGCTATAATACTTTAAATGTTCATCAGAGAGATCACTACTGCAGAGTATTTCACTGCATAACTACTTGGTCATATTTTTGTTGTGCATTTCTCTTCTTGACAACAATTTTCAACCATATGACACACAAACGATCTTGTCTACTGTGGACTGCCTCATGCTAAATTTGATGAGTGCATGAATTCAAAGCTCTGTTCCTGCAATTTTCTGATTTTAGGCATTTGGGAGTAGATGTTTAAGCTTCTGAAAATTTAGGGAGCAAAGTAACTTTATCTCATGCAAGTTTGGTTACCTTTTTGTGCTAACATAGCCTTGAAATTTTTATAAATAACTAGGCTACTGTTTACTCCTATTTGGTGTTGCTTCATTAGTTCAGAGTAGCATTTGTTCACTGCTAAGATGGTATACTAATTACTTCAAGTTGACATGAAGAACTGCAAGACACACTCTTTCCTGATAGGAGCTCAGGATCAAATGTACAGATCTTCAGGTGGTTAGATACCTTGAAAACTTGCTTTTGGGTCTGGATAAATAAGGGCACAACTTCTGAGATTTTTTATGGGGTGGAGGGCAGGGCTTGTGTAATAACTAACTAGGCAAAAAATACAGGTGTTTTCATGTTGTGGATGCTTAAAGTTTGGCAAAGTACAGTCCAACTGACAGGTTTAATACAAAATTTCTTACACTACAGGGCTTAATATAAAAAAGAAAAAAGCCTCTTTTGTGCTTGTTTTATTCTACAGCAGTAATCTTATCATCTCATTCTTTATGGACCACTGTATTGTTTTTTCATGGACTAACTACAAAATGAATCTCTAGGAAGAAGGTCGAAACTTCAGGAACTAAGCCTAGCTATAAAATTAGCATTATGTAATCCTCCAACCACCTCCCTCTGCGGCTGAGTTCGGAAATAGCAGTGCATAGGAGTGGGTGGTGAAGCTGTCTAATAGTTGCTTGAAGAGATTGATTTGCATTCATTTCTATTTACCAAATTATCTGGGGAAGGAGTTTTAATTTACAGTGTCATCACTACAGGCCTAAATTTTGGCTGAGTTTAAAGGCCAATCCCTGCAAACTAGATTTGCAGCCTTAAGGGACAAGGCTGGGGCTTTTTAGGGTGAGCCTACACATGTCCCCAAGAGATCTGTCCTCTCTCAGATATATACTGGTTCCCTTAACTCAAACTCTCACCAAACACTTCTCTTCCATATGACTTTATTGTTTTAATCATTGGCTTATAAGTATGTGGAGTCTTATTAAGTAGGTCTGTCTTGATGCTGGCTTGTTTATCCTTGACAAATATTTGAAAATTGGGATGCTTATAAATAATACAAAAAATCAGGAAATATAAACTCACCCTATAGGTAGGATGAAGAATCCGCACAAAAGCAAAATGTTGAAACACATACTTTAGACTCGGTACTGACTGTCTGCCCATTTGACCAGAAGTCCATCTGCTGTGGCTTGAATTGTGGTTCCAGACCTTATGAAGCCTTCTCTTAATAGTAAGAAGAGATTAACTTCAAATAAGCAAAAATTTCTACTTTATATAGCACTAGAATTACAAATATTAACATAAAAGTTTAACCAAGGAAAGTGACAAAATAGAATACAGACCTCAAAGCACAGAATCTTTAATGTCTTTATTTGTAATAAATAAATAAATAAATAAAGTGATGCTTCTATTAAGCTTTGAAGAAATAAAGTCACACAAAAAACATGACCTGCTTCCTTGCCAAACTAAAGTTCTTTCCTTTTTCCTCTCCCCTCTCACCCTTCTGTCTCCTCCCCTCTTCTGGATTAGGGGCGATTTAACTAAAAAGTTGTCTTGGTGTATACACTCCTTCCATGACTTATATCATCATTAAACTTTAAAACTGTGGTCACTAGCTCTTTTCCCTTGAATTGTTTTGTGCTTCTCCTTAGGTCTTTTTAGGTCAAATTTGCTCCAAAACTTCTGAGGACAACTGCATATTTGCCTCCCACAAAAATGAAAATTCAAAAACATGGCTTCCAATAGCTTCATTTTTCAGTGGGCTTCTCTGTGAGGAACATTTCTCTCGATTGTATTGGTTTTCTTTTGTGCTAAAGAATGGGGCCGTGAAGCTTCTAAAAATGCTTAAATTCATTCTTTAAAACCATTCTTTACTTTCTAAGGTTTGATACTTGACTCCCAATGCATTCAATGCCCTGTGCCCATATTATAACACCTAAAGTTTAGCAAGGAGAACTTACAAACATTTAAGAAATGGATTTCTAAAGTGAATTCATTCAACACACATTTATGAGTGTATAATCCTTACAGTTTCTTTAATTTCCAGAATAATGCTTTTTGATTCTGAGCAATTTCGCCATCTAAATTGCATCTACATTTGTGCTACTGCTTTGGAGACTCTACTTTTATTCCAGACTAATTTTCTGCCTTTGTTATCATCCTTAGTCTCTAGAGTGTATCAAGCCATTATGTGAAGAAAGACAGGAAATATAAAAGGCGAATCAGAGGTAATGAAAAGTTATTTGATCATTGACTGTGTTGCCATTCTAACACCTGAATGGTGCCCATGGCTGAAATTGAAGGTCCGCATTTATTGTGGGAAAGGCTTAGAAGAGTAATTGTCCTTTGCAGGAAACCTTTTGTCACTTTTATCCTTCTATTACTATTAGAAGGTATTTTATGTGTGATTATCAGAAGTGGTAAAGTATAGGACAATGATAGAAAATTCATTTTATAATTATCTTTTGGTAAACTAGCTCTTTTGCTCACTTGAATGGAAAGAGTGGGCAGAGTTCATAAAAATGCTGAATCCTTTGATGCCTTCAAATTGCTCTTCTACCCTAATTTTCCTTTTGCAGAATCTTTAAGGTTTCTAAAAGCGTTTAAAGCCATATTTGTAACTGTCTAAAAATGGACAAGAAACAAACTGAGCTTGCCTGGTATGTGCTCATTATCATGACAGAAACTTTAACGTTATTTAAAAATGCTGCTTCCTGGGGCTTCTCAGTTTCACATTCAAGGAGTGGGATCTGGTACTGTTACACACCTGAGGTGGAGTGTCTCCAATAGCAAATTAGGAATGTATGTATTTAGCTTGCAAATGTGGTTTTAATGTTTGTTTATTAAATACACTTTTTATAGAGTGCCTTCATCATTTCAGGCATGATTCTACATGGTGGTGTGAAACCCCAAAAAAGTGAAGTCCTCATTTCCAGCTGGTGGCACCTTTGCTGGTGGGAGGACAGCACTGACGTGGGGAGGACGTAGCCCTGGGGCTCTGTGTGTATCAAATGTGAGACAGTATTGAAACCCAAGTGTGGGCATCGCAGGCAGGGGCAGGAGGGGTTTACTGTGGGAGCACTTAGGGAGACACCTGTGTGATGGGGAGCTTCCCGCTGCAATGAAAAGGCGCAGAGCAGGTGAAGGTCGGGAAGAGAGAGGCATAATAAGCAAAGGTGAGGGCCTCTTGGGCCTGGCTCTGTGAGTTTTCACTGTGGTTCAGGTTACTGGAGTTGGATGCAGCCGAAAAAGCTCAGATGTGGCCCTGTGGCTCATGTTAAGGGGTCACAAGTGTGCCCTGTGTCAGGAATAGCACTACTTGCACTGGGGGCACTGATATGGAGAGGACAGAAGGAGATGACAGAGAGCTGAGGGGGCGAAATGAGGCGAACCAGCACTTCTCAGAAAACAGAAAAGAAAGCTTTTAGAGAGCTCTGAAAAGGTAAGTGGGCATGATTTTCCAATTCTGGGGAAGGAGTAGGAAGAACCCAGAGAAATTTTTGACTTTAGTTTTAATATAGAGCCAGTGACAGAGCTGGGGAATATAGGAGGAAGGCGGGCAGTTTATGAATGGAGTTTTGGGCACATACATACGCTCTGGCGTGTAACTGCAAACCTACAGATTCAGGCAGCAGCTGGCTTGTTGCCTCTGAAGCCCAAGGAAGCCTAGAAATCAAAGTTCAGAAATAATCAGCACCTGGATAGTTATTCTGATTAGTTCCTAGGATACAAGTCTGGTCAAATCACATTTTTTATATCATGATGATCTTTATCATTTGATAGTAAGTGGAAGCAATTTCTTTGTGACCAAAGCAGTTAGAAGATAAAATTACATGATTGGAACAAGGAATGCTGCTGTGCTCTTCTTGTTCCTTCTCACTGAAATGCTAATTCATCCCAGACACCCCAAGTTCTCCTCAGGAATTGTCAGGTCTCCCAAAGTTTCCTGAAGGAAATAGTTATATGAGAAGTCTAAGCAAAGACCAATAATCTTGACTTTGTTAGAGTGAATTAGAAGATCTGAGTTTTTCCTCTCTGAAGAGTAGCTCGATTACCTGTTAGCCTGGGCTAATGTTTAGCTATCATACCCACAGGTGGTCCAATGGCTTTGCCTGAGTGTTCTGGTTTTTCAAGCAAGGTTCCCCTGGAGATAGCTCCATAACATTTTTCAGACCATCTGAAAAAGACAACCGAGATCAGTAGCTCAATTGTTCTGGTTCCTGTATCAAAGTTGGCTCACAAAGAAAGGTTTTTATGTTGTCTACATTGTGCTCTTAAAGCATTAGCAGACAGTCTTAGCAACTTCTTGCCATCCTACCCCAGGAAGTTCAGAACGTATGTAAGCCTCTTTCCTTGAGTGTATTACTTTTATTCATCTAGATTTCTGTTTTAGTTACTTTCTATTCACTGAGATACAATACTTGACATGCACAACTCAAAAGAGCAAAGGTTTATTTTGGCTTAGAGTTTATAAATGTTTCAGGTTAGAGTTGGTGGGCTCTGACATGACACAGGAGGTTTGCTTAGGCACTGTGGACAGGAAGCAGAAAAGGATATCAAGAGAGGAGCAGGGAAGAAATAGCCCAGGCCATGCCCCTAAGTGACCCACCTCTTCTGGCCAGACCCTGCCTCCTAACAGCAAGTCATCTGTAAGTTCTCACAATACAATCACCTCCTCAAGGTCCTACCTTTAATGCATGGGGCCTTAGGGAACATCCAGATACAAACTATAACAACTTTCAATTACAAATGGCAGCATTAGTTTAAGTAAGGTGTCTATGTCTTTTATCCATGCTTAAACTTTCTCTGAGACATCTCGTCTCAAAAAAAAAAAAAGAGTTATAAGAAAATGCCTGTTTTTCTAGTTATATTCCATTATAGAAAGAATGCATAGCTTCAAAAATAAGATGCTGAAATTCTAAACCTCAGTGTGATGATACTCAGAGGCACAGCCTTTGGCAGGTAGTCAGGTTTAGAGGCGGTCATGAGGCAGAGCCCCTTAACAGGGATTATTGCCCTTAGAAGAGCCACTGACACCAGGACCAGCTCTCTGTACTCTGGAGACCCAGCAGCTAGGAAGAGAGCCTTGGTAGGTCTCAGCAGTGCTGGCCCACTGATCTCAGACTACAGCCTCCAGAACTTTCAGAAATAAATGTCAGTCATTCAGACCATCCAGACCGCAGTATTTTCTATGGCAACCTGCACTAAGACAATATTCAGTCTTGGAGAACTTTACAGCCGTTCCACTTGTTGTCCTCTTTAAAGAGCATATGTCCAATTCCAAAGTGGCCTTCTCATACTCATGATTCTGTCCTTTCCGGGACACGTGCTCTCTAAATTTCAGCACTGTCCTTATCAATGCCACAGGACAATACAACGATGTGCTTTTTTAGTTAGTGCCTATTGGGATAGATTTTTAAAGTAGGCTGCTTACAAAAGAACCATGGGACAGGGAACCCTCCTGACTCTCAGCTATATTTTTCTGTGATGAAAAGCCCTCACAGGCAGAGAAAATATTGGCTACAAAAAAAAAATAATGATATCTGTCTATGCACTGCTGCACAGTAATGAGACTGAGCTCTCCTCTGTGGCCTATGAAAATCAGTCTCATGACTTTATGATGTGTTCCATTCATACTGCAGAGCGACCCCACTTAATTCTTTCCTTATTCAGAAGGCAAATTGATGGAAGCCAGGTGGAATGGAATGGGGCACAAATGATATGATTTGAATATGTGTTCATAAATATTCTAGGACAGCCTTGGGGATAGAGCATCTCAACTCTGAGAAGAACAAAATCAATGATTTTATTAATCCCTATGATGCTTAAATTAAGAAGGTATCACTTTTCTGTGTTTTTGCTTGGATAAGTGGAAATATACAGAGCGAGGGGAACATCCTCAAGGTACTTAGAAGAGCAATGGTAGAGTCAAATCCACAGCAAGCCTGAGACTTCTGCTGTGCAGGGTTCTCTACTCTAGGATGGCCCATGATTGGACTCAAACTTTATCTCCCCACCTTGGAAATTTTTAATAATTATTGAATAAGAGGCCACATATTTTCATTTTGCACTGGGTCACACAAATTATGTAGCTGCTGCCAATCACAAGTTTTGATTATTTTGCACATATCCTTTGGATCTTATACTCTGAAATTATGACATCTTTTAACTAAACACTGTTAAGAACCTGATACAATGGTGGGCATGGAGTGGCTTTCCCAATGGCAAATTTCAAAGTCAGAGTTTCCAGGATTTGTGAGGTCTATGACTTTACTCTTTATTGTTCCTTAAGAGTGAAGGAAATAATGTGAACTATAAAAAATTGCCCATAGAGAACACAAAGGTGTTTGGCAAACTGGCAGTGGTAATGTGAAAATCCGTTCAAGTGTTTATAAATTTGGAATTCATTTAAAATCGTGAACTAGAGCCTGACTTTGTGATGGTTTTGTTGCTGAACTGTAAAGTGTTATAAATAAATGACTGTACATTTTAAGTTTTTGTCCTTTTACATTTAAGTCATCGAGTATAGGCATGACTGTATGAAGTATTCTACCCCAATTTAATTGCATATCCACAGCGAATGAGCTTTCATGATTTTGTCTTGAAACATGTGACCTCTCAGAGTAGGCGATGTTATAAAATCTGCCTTCATCCTTAGCTCCAAAGTGGATTAAAGTCATCAATTGTTGACTTGCTGTCATTTATTCTACTTTTTGTTTTGGTAGAGTTGCTATATAAAGAAAATATTTGTGTGATCATGTACCATTCTTTTGACATTTAGGGACTCTGTAATTCAGCTATTTTATACCTTTTTTTTTTTTGAAGTTACTGGTATAAGAAAACCTCTTTTTATTTTACCTTGTCTTCCTTCTGGCTGGGATGGGTGTGGGATTTCGTTACTCAGAGTATTTTGGTAGTGACTGCGGGGAGTTTTAAGGTTAAAAAGGGTGGGGGGTATTAACGGAAGCTAGTGGACTAAAGACAGGGATGCTGCTCAGCATCCTGAAATGCACCCTATAGCATTCCCAACCAGGGACTGTTGGTTCTCAGGTTATGTTCTATCTGAGAAACTGGTTGTGCAGTTTACAACTGAGCTAAGAGTTAGACCTGCAAGGGGAAGTGGGTACGCGGACCTGTAACTGAGGAACTTGACAGTGACGAAGTTAGTGTCAGTGCCTAGACTGACAATTATTTTTTAAGGTAGACATCAGAAAGTGGTTTTCTGTGCAAAAATACAGAGGTGCAGGGACTAAAATAGTGTTCTGTCAGTTCAGATCTGGCCACATTTAGTCTGAAAAGCCAAGAATTTTCTTGGGATACTTAGTCTGAGTTAATATATTGGTGTTTCTAATACCTCTCAAAATGTTCCTGTGTGTTTTGTGCATGTATGTGGTGATAACACATCATAAGATCTACCCTTTTAACACATTTCATCAAATTGTACACATTAAATATGTGCAGTTCTTTGTGTACTAATTATTCTTTACTGAGACTGGTGGGTTTTGTTCTTGGTTTTCCCTCCCCTTCTCTTCCCTTCCCTCCCCTCCTCTCTTCTTCCCTCCCTCTCCTATCCCCCCTTCCTTCTTTCTTTCCTCCCTCCCTCCCTCTCTCTCCCCTCCTTCCTTCCTTCCTTCCTTCCTTCCTTCCTTCCTTCCTTCCTTCCTTCCTTCCTTCCTCCCTTCCTTCCTCCCTCTCTCCCTCCCTTTCTCTCTCTCTCTCTCTCCCTCCCTTTCTCTCTCTCTCTCTCTCTCTCTCTCTCTCTCTCTCTCTCTCTCTTCCTTTCTTGTTTTCCTCCTGACAGGTCTGACTATGTTACTTAGACTGCTCTTCAAAACTCTCAGTGTAGCCAGAATTACAGACATACACCACCACACCTCACCCTAGTAATGCTATTTTAAAAATACATTGACATCACTTGTTGAAATAAAGATTGAAAACTTGCAGAGCAAGATCAATATTTTAAAATTCAGGTGTGCTTGGCACCTGAAATTAACAGGTGTTTCTGGATCATCACTTATGCAATGGGCATCAGGCTGGGTACCATAAAGAATGTAAGCATGAGTTTTGGTTCCTGCCTTCAGAAAGACACCGGATGACTTAGAAGAGAAAGACATATGCTTAGAGGGAAAGAAATAGTTTGAATTCCAAACAGTCACAACTTAGTGAGATTAGGCCCTTTTGCATTTCAATTGTGGTTCACCAGAGTAGGGTCAGTAGCAAGCTTTTGAGAATATTGTTCAGAAAGATGGAAAAGCTCCTTATGTCTGGGAAGCTGAAAATTATACTCCCTGATTCATGGTGTGAAGGAGATGTAGTACTTAAATATATACAGCTAGGTCTCATTATTAGGGGTTGCTGATTTTTGCAGTTCTCACCTGCCATCAGCATGTGTGTGAAGAGCTTTGCCACCCACAAAAGAGCCTCTAGGACTTTATGATCCTG